CAAAGAGCCTGATGGGGATGTCGTTAATGCCGATGCCCAGGAACGAGCTGAAGATCCCCCAATGGACAATTGATGTGCTCTCTTTCCCTCTTTTTGTTGTATACAACTTGATATGTCGAGCTTACAATCATTGTATCAATATTTTCATGAATGGAAGTTTGGTCTTTCTACCGAGCGTCTTCTATGTTGTTTTTCCCTTCTTTTTTTTGTTGTGCTTCGGAGTTTGGTGGGTCTGCTAGGACCATAGGCCGTGCTTTTGCAATTGGCTCTTGGGCTAGTTAGTGCTTTGAACTCTACATTGTTGCCTTGGTCTCATACTAGCTGAGATGTTCGATATCTACTGGCCGAGGTCTCTGGCTTAGTGGCTTTAGTCTTATGCTAGCTGAAGTCTAGCCTTCGCTAGTCGAGGCCTCTGGCTTAGTGGCCTTAGTCTTTGCTAGCTGACGTCTTCGATCTTCAGTAGCCAGAGTCTTGGACTTGACGCTAAATGACTGTGTTTCTAAACTTCATGGCCTCGGTCTCATACTGGCCGAGGTCTTCAATCGTTACTGATTGAGGTTTCTGGGTTAGTGGCCTCAGCCTTTGTTGGCCGAGGTGCTTCCAAGCCCTTAACGTTGTCGGGGAGCTCAATGGCACTTGGTCTTGGAGAGCTTCATGTTCATTGGTTGGGCTATCTATGGTCCTCGTTTAGCTCAGCTTCGACTACGAGACTGGTGGGTGCGTGGAGTTCGATGGTTGTCCTCTTGCCATTATGTGGTGGCAACGTCGTTCCCGTGGTGTCTGACAGGGGCTTTCTCTGGCCTCAACTGTTTGTGGTCGGTCGGGTATTTCGTGAGATTGCCATCACGCTACGATCATAGGTCAACATGGGGTTCGGCCATTGGAGTTTGGTTACGCAATGCATGGGGGTTTGGTTATTTGTGCATGAAGAGGATTCTTTATTTATTGAATTTGTATAGTCCTGTCGCAGTTAATGCTCGACGTCGATCGTTGTCAGTACATTTTAGTCTTGGCACTCCAGATCCTTGGGGTAGGTCTTCTGTGCCTAGTTTCCCCTTCTAAGGTCCGTTTCGCTTGGGATGATGGTGATGACCCTGACCGGGGTAGCTTGGGCTAGAGGCTCGTCGACACGGTGTGGTTCTTCTCTAGGTTTATGTTCTTTGATGTGGATGAATCCATGAAGGTATCTACGTTAGACAAGGTCTTCCAGGTGGTGGCAAAGGCTATGGAAGCTCTAGGTGTCATGGCCATGGTCATGGTGGAAGTCGCAAAACTTGTCTCAGTTTGTCTTGTAGCCCTAGGTTTTCATATTTTCGAGCCACTTGACAAAGCCGCGGTCGCAGATTCGCATTAGTATGTGAGCCTACGGAGTGTTGAGTGGGGTGAAGTTGTGATATGTCAGCGGTAGGGTCCTCAGTTTACGACCAGGTTAGCGATCTTGCCTCTTAGTGTCTTGGTCCGGTCTTTAGCCATCGTGGTCTTAGTGCTTTCGGTCATTTTGGTCTTCGTCTACCCTACGCAATGCTTGGGCCTTTTCGGCATTCATATACTTCTGTGCGTGCTTCATGAGTGCAGTCTGGTTTGGCAGAGGGTTCTTTGGCAAAAAGAAGCTGAACATCGAGGAGCACAGTGCGCTCATGGTGGCGGTCACAGTTACTGACTGGTCTAGAGCTCAGACCTAGAGGGCCTCGACATTAAACCTCCCAAGTATTCCCTCAAGGTCTCTCATTTCCTTTATCGCATTTGCATGAGACTGGCCGACGTCTTCTAGTGCCTTTGGTTGGTGGTGAACTGCGCTAAGAACTACTTCTCCAACTGCTCCCAGGATGATATGGACAATGGAGGAAGGGAGGCATACCAGGTTCTGGTGACTCCACGGAGAGTGGTAGTGAAGGCCTTGCACATGAGACTTTTGAAAGATTCGTGTAGCATCATTATCGCCTTAAACCCCTCAATGTGGTCCTTAGAGTTGGAGGCTCCATCGTACTTCTTAAATTGAGGAGGTCATCACCTGGCTAGGGGGAGCTCGTCGACAATCTCTTGGATGAAGACATGCTCTTTTGCAGGCTGTTGGTCGAGCCATCGGAGGGGCAACTATTCGATTGGCTACACTCTAGTTCAGCCAGCCGCTCTCCCAGTTCTTTGATCTCAACATCAATATCAGTTGGGACCACATTCATGGACTTTTCCCCTTTTGGGATTGCAGGTTGATCTCAGACCGAGCTAGATTTGGCTATCAAGATTAGCGACTACTGCAGACGTTGGCTGAGCCATTCTCTCTTCAGCACTCGGGTGGAGTAATGGGATCTACTCGAGATGTCGTGAACGCGCGACCAAGGTGGGGAGTCAGGTCTTTTAGATGGCTGTGGTCGTTCGTGGTCGGATTGGGCCCTATGCATGTCTGCGTGGTGCCTTTTGAGTTCCTCAGTGTGAGGATCAACTATAGTAGGCATCCGTGTGGCAAGGCGAGTGGCTTGGGGGGCACAAGCTGGTTTCCCCAGCGTCTCCATCATGGATAGGGTATGATCGACTTTCTGCTGCATGGATTGGAATTGCGTGGGGTTGACCGCTGTTTGATGTTTGGGCTCCAGAGCGGTCGGATGCGTTTTTAGGCATTGTTGCTTTAAGTGTGCAAAAAGATGTTTGGGAAATGACCTTTTATACGCTTTCCACAAATGATGCCAATCTGATGTTGTCCGATCCCAGGTGTTCCAAACTGAGGACACAGTTAGATAACCCTACCAACTGGACGATGCCAAGGTGGAAGGATGAAGCCATGCACTTGGATCTTCAACTAGGAGAAAGGTCAGAGGCCTGAGGAGTTATTCCCCGGGTAAGTACTTCGATGCTCAAGTCAGTTGGGTAGAGAAAGAGGTGGCTGGGCCGAGCAAGTTGAAATATGTTGGTCCAGGCCAAAGAGATAGAGTTGAGATGTATTCAAGGAGTGTTCTTCTAAAAGTCCCTTATCTCGAGTGGGGAATACCTATTTATAGTTGGGTGTTCGTGTTTGAGATGGATAGGGCTTCCACGGTTGTTGGGATGAGGTTGTCCACTGAGGTCTTCGGGAGGTTTCCTCTTCCCCGACAGAGTTCGGTTCCTTGTCCATACAGGACACTCCTTCTTAGTGATCATGCTCTTCCGTCACACGATGTCATCATGGCTTGAGAGAGAGGAGGACTGTAGAGGTTGCCAAGTGGCATCCTTGGCCAGCTCAACCATCACCCGAACACAGTTAATAATCTAAAGAATTTATTGGATTGGATTGGACATGGTCCATTTGTAAAGGTTTATATTGGATTGGGTCGGATTGAACCGGTATTTGGTCCATTAAAAATATAGGTGTAAATGGACCAAGTTTGGGTTGGAATCAATATAAATTAAAACCAATTTGAACAGATTGGGTAATCTAGATGAATTATACTAGTCCAAAATGGTCCCAAGTATTCATTGGATTGGATTATACCTGGTCCATTTCTAATGGATTCCTATTGGACTGGATCGAATTGGACCAAATCTGGTCAATTGACTCCCTTAATTACAAGAGAGGAAGGGTGTAAGTAGTCTTGTGTTATATATCCCAGACATTTGACATCATGGGTTGACCTGTTCAACCCTAATGGTTAAACTACTGACCCCAAAAATGAAGGCAAAGATGGTTCCATTTCCAAGCCAATTTTAAAACATTTTGGTCCAAGCCATATTGCCTTTGCAAAAAAGCATGTAAAGAAAAGCTGAAACATTGATTTGGTTTAATGTATTGTATTACCGGTGGGTATGGTTCTCAGGTTTTAGCTTGCCTTTCAAATGCTTCCATATTATCAGTGGGTATGATTATCAACCTTTTGCTCTTTTCTCCATAATTTTTGCAATAAGATGGGTCAATGTTTAATTCTCCTTCCCAAACTTTTGAATTGGTCGGTAGCTTGCCTTTCAAATGCTTCCACATATTTCTTAAATATGTTAGGAGCGTGGTGCCTTCCCAGCCTCTTGGGAGAGCATTGCTAGCTTACGAAAATCTCATAAATTGATTTTTTTGTTAATAAAATCCTTGAAGCTCAGTTTGGAAATAGTATAAATGCAAATATGTATATTGCAAATACATCCAAAATAATACAAAATATAAGGCTTTGCACTTTATATATTTACATGTGTACTCCTTCCAAACTAAGCTTAAGTTTTGAAATTTTATTAACTTGGTTCAATTATCGATCTAGGGATAGATTGATTTTATTACCCATTTTTCATTTGATGGGTATAGAAATCAGTCCAAGAATTAGGGCCCATTCGTTTGCTCTAATGTATGACATCTAAAGTATAATAATTACAATAAGAGGTGTATTAGTATTGGTGAATTTTTCTTTTCTCTGAATTCTGAATGTAGAGAATGTTGTTCTGATATCTGAAAATTGTCAAATATCCATTTTAACCTCATATATGATAATTTTTATTTGTATTTTATGGGTATGATTAAAAAACAAAAAGTTGTAAAATTCTTCTTTAAGTGATAAGAGATAAGAGGAAACAAACACTTATTTTCCTTTTAAAATTGTAAGATTCCTCTTAAAAGATAAGAGTTAAGAGGAAACAAAACAGGCCCTTAATCTTGGACCATGCATATAGTTCAAATCAACTCCCCATATAACACATGCTACATGCACATCTCAATGAAACCTATCCCATACTTGTCATGAGAGATGTTCCCAATGCACGATTGGGATGTTCTATAGGGCATATGTGGGACGTGCTTTGAGGGAAGCCCATGAGGATTCCGTACTGGACTAGAATAGTGCAACACACCAGTAATAGCTCACTGGAAAATTGCGTCCAATTTTGAATCACACAAAATACTTTTAATACGGCCAAATTTGATCCCAATATATGTTTACATGGCCGTGGCCTTGAGGTAGTTCCTTTGTGTATGGGATAACAATAACAACTTAATTCTTCTTTGAACTAATTAATAATTAAATTACGATTGATAGATAGATTGCCTTCTTAGGTTTCTAAAAAAAGAGATAGATAGTTATCAAGAAATATAATGTCATATATATAATTTGTTTGAGATTAATTTATTGTTATAGTTAACAGCTGTGGAGAATATGATATCCTTAATAAATTGTTAAATTAAGTTGATTTAGAAGAACTTGTAGATGAGGCTCTGTGCCTGCATTTCCACAGAAGCAAAGATAATCTGGTAAGCTTTTTCTGTAGGGTGAACGCTGTCCCAATATACGTACTTGGAGACGTCGGTGCAAGTGAAAGGATTCAAGTCGTTGCAAAGTTCTGCTACTTCTATCTTCCCCGTGCCACAGCAACCTTTGCTGACTTCTTCAAATCCTAATGACAGAGAAGAAAAATCAATTAATTAACAGTACTGAAGATTCAAATCCTAACTAAGAATCAAAGACCCACTACATGATCGATAATCGATCCATTACCATAATCGCGAGGCCTTCGATTAAGATGGAGAAGAGGAAAGTAGACATCAATATAAACCATCCTTGCTTCTGGGAACTTGTTGTTAAGCCAATCCATCTGGGAAGATAGCTTAGCATTGAAGAGCTGTGCTGCTTCGTTGACATCCTCTATGCATCCTCCATCTCCTCCTCGTCCTCCTCCGATTCCTCCCAATAAGCTTCTCGCATATGGCACACACCCTACTGACGGAACGCTCAACACAGCGATCCTTCTTGCTCCGAGATCATACAATTCCTGTACTTATGTATTTCGTTCTTCTTCATCAATATTAGTTAATAATTATATATATAATTTTTTGTTGGGACCTGGTCCTCTAGGGGTGGCCACGAGCCGAGCTACTCAAGAGTTGTTCGAGCTTGGCTCATGAAATACTCAGCTCGATTCAATCTAAATCGAGCTTCAAGCCGAACTCGAGCCTAATATATAGGCTTGTTTGCTAATCGAGCCAAGCTCGAGCTTAATAAAGTTCAGCTCGACAACTCAGCCACTGAGGGTGACCTCAGGTCGGCACCTTGGAAAATAAGGGACACCTCAACTTGGCACCTCGGCTGTTGGAAAACCCCAGTTCGGCACTTCAGCAGCTGAGGGAGACCTTGGCTGCTAGGGAGACCTCGGCTCAACACCTCCATTGCTAAGGAGACCTCAGCACGGCACTTCAGCAGCTAAGGGAGACCTACAATCGAAAGTAGCCGAGCTTGAACTTTTGAGCTTTTGACTCAAGTCGAGATTGACCTCAAGTCTCTAATTCGAATCGAGCTCGAACTTGATAGTTTATGAGTGAGTTGAGCTTGAATAGCCAGATATTCGGCTTAGCTTGACTCGACTCCACCCCTAGCCTCCTCAAAGAACCGTTTAACCTAAAAGTTTAAGCTGTTAGATAAGATTCTTGAATATGTTTTTATTTTCTAACATGCCCCCTAACGGGAAGTCCATTAAGCTTGAAGTCTGAACAAGTACAGACCCATTCATAGTTTGTGCTGGAATTTAATTAATTATAACCGGGCTATAAAGATTGAACTCTAAATCACCTGCTGTGATACCATTCAAACAATTTAGGGAGAAGTACCAATCAGCCCAGATCAGAATTTTATAACCCCAAAGTACAGGGGAATGCATCCTAACCGTTAATTGATGTCAAATTCACGGGCAGGATGTGATTTATAGGGGGGAGAGGGATAGTTATAGGGGGGCTGGAATTCAGAATTCTGCATCGTGTACTTCTCCGGACAATCTATCAACCTAAAATCTTAAGGAGTTGAGCTGTTGTCAATTAGTGAGGTCCGGCCCTAATAGGTTTTTACTCTCTATGACTCCTGTTACTGTGAATAGACAGAGTAGAGCTGCTTACTTGAAGGAATGTAGAGGCTGACTGGATCATGAAATCCGTGTAGGCAGGGACGTCGTATTTCGCTCTCCTCAACGGTGTCAGAAAATACGTTATCAGAAAATCATTGCTCCCTGCACAAACAACGTATAGGCTTTGGGAGATGATGGTTGCAGTTCTCTCCTCTCCAACTAGTGTCTTCAGTTTCTCTATGTACTCCTTGAACAACTTCAGTTGATCCGACAACGATAATACCGACTGATAATTTTGAGGGAAAAATTAAAAACAAAAAGTTGGAAATTAAGAAAATAAGTGAAGAAGCTAATTAGGAGCAGAGGATGAAATAAAGATAACAAGGGCGATGGTGATTAGGAGGAAGAGGAGGATGGTATATACCGTTACTTGAGATGTGAGAGGATCATAACCGGTGCCGCTCGAAGCGAAGCAAACGCCGGTGAGGAGTTCTTCAGTTTGAAGGTTTGGATCGAGATAGGCGGGCAAAAACTCCTTAATTCCTAGCTCTTCAGCTGTAAAAAATAAAAATCTATGAAAAATGATTTCTCTTCATACAATTATCTGTATCCGTCTGAGCAGGAGAAAACCAATTAAAACAAAAATAAGTAAAAGAACATATAAGTCAGACTTCTGAGTAAATACACCGACCTCACATCATCATGTATCAAATCATGTATCGACTGTACGTTGGAAACATTTCTGTGACTGTGAGGTCAGTGTGAGGAGTAGATCCCAATTTATTGAGGACTGGGGTGTGGATGCTAGGTCATGTACTAGGCCTGGTGTGACGTGAATGGCCCAATGATGATTGGCTTTCGGGGCCTGTTTGGCACCAAGCCAACCCTTTAGAAACAATGCTAGTAGGGCTGCAAATAAGTCAGATCAGATTTGATTCAATCCAACACCCGTGATCTATCAAAAACAAAAAATAAAAATAAAAATCGGGCCCAATCCGATATAAATCCAGTTACAAATGGATTAAGTCTACAAGCTTGCATAGCCCCTTCTGATCTATCAAAAAAGAAATAAAAAGGCAGAATCAATCTAATATAAATCCATTACAAATGTAATGGACCAGGTCCAATTCAGCATTAGTCCATTTTGATATGTCTTGTTAGTCGGTTCAATCCGTTCAAATTGATTTTGATTCGATTGGACAGGGTCCAACCCAAACCTGGTCCATTAACACCCGTAAACACAGGTGGGTTGAGCGGGATTCATCAGGACAGATCATGACCGATTCACAATATGCAAAAGCTCGGTCTTCTTATATATGTTCCACATGATTTTGCAACAAAACAAATTTTAGATTGAAAAATTTCAGCTACTATGCACAACCCTTATTAACAAGAAAGCATTGTTTTCTATTTCGCTTAGAAATTTCAGATACTTTGCATGTTTTTTTAAGTAGTAGGATGAGAGAGAGAGAGAGTACCCAGTATGTCCGAAGGGATCCTTCCATTGCTAAACCTTCCTGTTGGTTCTCCTCCTAAGAAATCCTTTCCATAGGGTGGGAAATTGCATTTAAACAAAGTGGCAAGATGGTTATTGTTGCCTGTATCAACAATTGAATCTCCGAACATAATCAAAGCTGGAACTGTTACATTCTTAGGTAGGATGATCTTGGCTTCAAGATTTTGGAAGAAAAAAGAAGCAAGAAGAAAGAGAAAAATGGCTAAACAAGTAGGATGCATAAAACCCAGTTTTAGATACAGAAGCAGCGTTCTTTTTTTTTTTTTTTTTTTTTTTGAAAATCCTAATTATTTGTCCTGGAGAGAACTAAAGGAGAAGAAAAGGTGAAGATTCATTGTACAGAGAGGTATTCATTTATAGTACTGATAATAAAATAAATTATTACTTGTAGATTAAGTAGTTGAGATATTAAATTCAATGTTTGTTTGTTCACTTTCACTTCACAGCTATCATTCAGTGAACAATATTTTCAAGCCTTTAAGTGGAATCACAAGAGTAATTCTATCAACGTCTTGGGTTGTCTGTCAATGTCATCAATATATAGATAATAAAGAGTAATTCTACCGGCATTTGGGTTTTCTTACACTTAGTGCCTACAACATTTTTTTCCTAACTACTGATGCATAAATACAATAAATAACAACATCATTGTACCAAACATCACCTTAGGTTGTAAATATTGCACCCCTGTACTAGTTAACTTTTCTGGTGTGGGTATCATCAAATTAATATATTGATAATGAAGCATTTTCACAATAAAAAGGGAGAACAACTGTTCATTCCACCCCAGAATTCTTATCCACCATACAGGTGGGATGAATCCTGACCGTGGACTGATGCCAAATCCATGGGCATGATGTGATTTATAAGGGGGCAGGGGGCTATTAATTGATTATGGGAGGCTGTAATTTCAAAATCTATGGACTATAATGTACTTCTCAGCAATAAAAATTACTAATTATTAAAAGGACAAGGAACGATTAATAATAACAAATTTGAATAAAAAATGAGGCAACTGACATTATATCAATATCATGTCATCATCATGATCATGATCATCATCACTATTATTATAAAGGGAAAATTACATAGAATAGGTATCCCATACTTTGGGGGTGGGGGGTGGGGAGTGGGGACACTTAGGGCTATCTTGTACTGTTATAAATCTACATTCACTCTAAGTCCATTAACTGATGTTATGGTAATTGGTGAATTTATCAAAATGCACATTCAGTTTAGAAACGATGCAAATAAGTGTGAATGCAAATATGTAGAGTGTAAACTGGTTCATATAAATTGTAAAATTGGGTTAGTTTTGCACTAACAAATTTACCTTCTTACCAAACAGACTTTTTGATGGAGGCGCATCACAAGGCCCACCTCACCCCTAGGGGCGGCAGCTCCTAGGATAAGGGTAAGTCAAGATAAAGTCCAAGATTATCAAGAAATCAAGACTTAACCCAAGACTCCAAGACTTATCAAGGATTCAAGACTTATCAAGGATTCAAGACTTATCAAGAATTCAAAACTCATCAAGAATTCAAGAATTCAAGACTCATCAAGAATTCAAGAGTTCAAGACTCATCAAGATTTCCAAGAATTCAAGATAATCCAAGATTCATGCATCAAGGGAGATCGGACGGTGGAGATCAAACCAAGAAGAGTTCGATCCTATCAGATTAGATATTTGGATCTATCATAGTTGTTATTTCCTAGTTCTTTTACAATTTTCAAATGTATTATAAATACTACTATTTTCCCAGAATTATTCATCAATTCATACTTCATATTTTCAGAATTTCTTCAAAATCTCTTCTTTGAGTTTCGCCACATTTTCTCTCTCCTAGAGAAATCTGTGTTATTCGCTAGGAATTAGCGAATGCCCGGTGTTTGCATAGCCAGCTCCGGTTTCCATTGCTTCCATGCTGCATCACTTTTAGCTGTAATGGATGCAAACATGAATTCCAATAAAATATATGCTTTTTTTTTATCAAAAGCCCACTTGAATGCAAATTTACTTCTTTTTTATTAATATACTTTTATATCTTATTATCAATGTAAATAAGTATTAATTTGTCATTTGTCATTGCATAAATGTAATATTGCCAAACATAAGCAAAAGTGAAACAGAGTGCAAATTTACCCTGAATCGAAAAGTGCAAAATTATAGAAATGGACATATATCAATGCGTTGTTTCAACGTCAAGTTCTTTCAACTTCAATACAAAAATTGAGAAAGAAAATTGTTAAGAATTAGGGTTTTAGATGGATAGACAAATCGGTCTTGTAAAACATGCAAAAGGGTATTTTTGAGATTTTATATGTTTTAATGTTAAAGGTTGACTTTGAGTGTTGATTTTTGAAAGCACAGACTACTTTGTTGCATGTGATAGTTGAGGCGTCGGGTGTTGCATCCCTTTACCAAAAACAACTTAAGTTTCGCAACCCCTGCAACTTTCTCAATGAAGTAGAAATTGTGTAATTACTCTTCAATTTACTCTATTCAATTTTTATGAAAAATATCAAGAAATTGAATATAATTATGACCATATATAGGATAATTTACTATGATCTAAAAGTCTTTTCAGGTAGTTGATTAAAAGATAAGAACCACTCACACCGGTATTTAAATTAGTCCTAACTACATATCTTTATTTCTTCTACAAGCTACCAAGTGAAAGTGATATGTATTAAATTATAAATTAGACTACAAACTAACACCAAATTTATTTTGATTTATGAAAGCATAGAAGACTTAAAGTAGACCAAAAAAAGATAAAGACCTCGTTCATTTACATTTATTTCGTGGGTAAGTTGATTAATTGGATAATTGACCAATTTTTCTGGTAGAATGAATGGTACAGAAAGATTATTTAGAGTATTGGTTTCCTCGATAAATGATATCTTCCTTGGGAGTGGGTAAGTTGCTTATCCACCCGCTGGAAACGTTAAAATCTCGAGAAATGACACCACAATTTGCCTTAGAATCATTTACCCGTGTGACAAAAAAAATAAGAATAAGTTCATAAAAAAAAGTGGGAACTCCTAATTATCATCCCATTGTTTAAACTTGCCACATTAGCATTTATCATAAAGGGAATTGATGAGGAGTATTTGGCACGACCTAGTAAAAAGGGGACATATAGACGTGATCTGTTCGAGCGGTGACAACTCAGTCAAATGAATTCATTTCGCAACCTTTGGAGCTTGGGTATTTTGCCACCTCGTCCTAAAAAACCACCTCGACGTAAAGACACCTCGACACCCAATACAGTTCGGGAATAAAGAATCGAAGTGCCAGGTCGGAGCTAATGAGCTGAAACGTCACATAATCAACTCCAAAGGCCTCCCCAACGGATCTTGAATTTCTTGAGATCACGATGAAAACTCGTCCTAGCTCCGCTTGAATCGGAGGTAAACGATAAACCTTATCAGCATATTACTCTCCTTCAAAAACGGAACAAACCTTATCTGCACAGCTTGGAGATCCCGAAGCTCTTTCGTAAAGCCCACGACTATTCCACTATATAAGTACAAGAAACCTCAAGGCAAAAGTACATGTGATTACTTTACTCACTAGCATTCAAACACTCAAAATTCAGCTCGCATTCGTAGTATAAGTACTGACTTAAATATCGGAGCAACCTCGCCGAGTCATCTACTCCGGATTCTCTGATCTACTATTCTACAAATTAGTCCAGTTTGCCGCCTAACAAGAGTTTGGATCATCTTCCAGATAGGAGAAGTATTCAGATTGCACACCATCAGGAACAAAATTCATCTTCTTAATGGCCAATTGAAGTGCAACACCTTGCCTAGGTGTTAATGTGGAAGGAAGTTTCAATTTATATCATGTCTCCTATCAAACATTGCATTGAAGCTAGGGCGTTAATTGAGTGAACCAGATCATGTAGTACATATGCTATCATTTATTGGCTCTATAAATTTAGGTAAAGCAAAGAAACATTAGAAACGAGTAAAATATGAGTGCAACTCTCATAGGAGTGGTATACATCTTCTGCGCGTTATCCCTCTATGTATCGTTTAGCGTTCTGTCAAGAAATACCTATCCAATTAAACGAGTCCCTGTCCGGCCGTCTCTACCCTCTGGCCTGTATGCTCCATTCAGTGGTTCTTTTTTAGGGTCTGTTTGATTTATCAAAATCTTTTGGAATTGAAATTAGAATGGTCTATTCGACTATTCCTATAGTCTATTTGGTTCAGACAGGAGTGAGAATGAAAATTAAAATCAGCAGAAACAGGATTTCATTCCCAAAAGAATGGCAGAAAATGATCATTCCCTCAAATGGTGGAATGCCATTCCAGCAAGAATGAGAATAGAATTTTAATTCCACCCAACCAAACAGTTGAAATCAGAATAGCCCATTTTAACTACGATTCCTGACCCCTAATCCTGTGAACCAAATGGGGCCTTAAAATTTTTTATAATGATGACACCAAACATCGACAGTGCTGATCTCTTATGTGTGTGTAATACAAGGTTCATACATCTTTATCTCTACACTTTATTTTCACTTGTATAATCTCCAACCCAATTATATTACCCACGCTGATCCAAATGGCATCATTGTCGGTGCCGGCTTCTTGGTCCTCCGGTTTGGGTTGCATATTTTGAGAAGAAGATGAACAGTGTAGGGGTAAAATTGAGATTTTATAAAATTCAGGTTTTGTGAAATGTTCCTAAATGTTCCCTTAATGCAGTTGGTCTATTTGTATTATCTTACTAGGTATATACAAATAGTTTTATAAACCATAGGATATATTTAAGTAATTAATCCTTATAATTAATTGAGCACAATATACACATGGGTCTGAACTTACCCACACTTCAAACACCTCACCTAATAGCTTAAACTTTTAGATTGAATAGTTTTTAATATCTTGACACCTCTTTTCACCAATTCAATCACTTGGATGGTGAAGGAGGATGAAATCTACAACATTTTCAATAATGGGCTACTTCGGACTTGTACTACATTTTTGGGTCCAATGTGGGTCTAGATCAGCTCATATGTTGGGCTAGGGCACACAATAGGTGTTTCAACTCTCAAGGGTTTGATTCTAAATGGATTAGATGGGTTATGGAGTGCGTTACCACAGTCTCTTATAAAGTCCTAGTGAATGGTTCCCCCTCCATTAGGATTGTCCCTAGGATGGGGTTCAGACAAGGAGACCCCTCTCCTCCTACCTGTTCCTCTCATCTCTAATTAGCAATCTGATTAG